TCAACCTTCCCAATCAATCGATCGCCAGTATTTTGTGGAATAACTTTTGCGTTTGCATCAAGTACTAAAATCTTTCGTGAATGTGGTTTCCTTCGAGTAAATCACGCATTTTTGCTTACCCAATGTGGCAAGCTTCTTGGGATTCTTCTCGATTGGATATATGTACACATCCATAGCAATCTTGGCATTGACTTTAATGTAACCTTTCATTAGTTTCAGTATTGGTGCCTCGTAGGTGCGAATAATTAATTCGGCGTATTCGTTCTTCTTGTACTTGCTGACGAAACTTTGGAACCAGTTCCCAATGCACATCGCAAGCGCTCCACAACTATAAAAAATACTTGTTCAAAAGAAAGCATTAGTGTAATGTATAAGTAGAATCTACTTGATTTTAAGGTAATCCTTGTAATCCGGGAGACTATTCTTGTTGATAGGGATCTGGATCATCTGTGATTCATGCACGCTTTTAAAAACACACGATGAGAGACTTTCTCCCATCCATACAACTGCCATCTTTGGCTTCAGTCCTTGTTCTAAAATTTTACGCCGAAGTCAGTGTGGATAGAGTTTAACTACGAGATTTGTGAATTACAAAACGCACCCGCGAAGTTTTCGATCGCGTTTGTGTGTTCCTCACATGAAAGATTGCCATATCCGACTTTGCTTCCAGCCGTGAATTCAATGAGATTGCTGTGAGTTATCAAAAGTTCTTATACTTGTTTCTTTCTTTGAAGAATTGACGAAATAAGTTGTGTTCGAAATTTCTGCAGCTTAACTGCATTTGAATCGGTACAACAGCTCTTACTTTGTATATTTTGGTTGTTGTAGTGCATAATCAACGAAGAAGTCAAATCCGATTGGTTGACGAAGAGGAAGAGAATACAGAAACTCATTGTATTTGCTTATAATGATATCTCGTGCAACTTTGCATGTCTTAAATAACGGAATAAAACTTTGAGGGATTTCAAAATACATGTTTTTCTTACCATCTCCCGAATAAGGTTCTTAACCAAAGTTGTGGTAAGAGCTTGGAACATATTTGCCAAGTCCGGCATATAGCCCCCCTCCAGGCTGGAATTTT